CAATTGCTCAGGCTCATTTCTAGCAAACTCTTAAATTAACCCATATTTCTATTTATGCTTTTCCAGGTGATTTGTGGGATATTACCTCATATTTTAAGCATCCTGCTTGCTGGGTGGCTGGCTTGTACCTCTATGACTCTGCCCTCCTTCTTCCCAGAGTCCTTTCTGTCAGGCTGTCCCACTTATATGTCCTGACACTGGCCTGTTAGGTTTTTATTAACCATTGACAGTAATACATGTTCGTAGTGTAGAGAAAGATTGTTCCATAGCAGGTTCCTTCCGTGTCTGCCTGCTCTGAGGCCTTGTCAGCACATCCATTTCAGATGAGACACCCAGCCTCGTGGTATTGAGCACCTACTGTATCCATAGACTTTCCATTCCTAACTAATCATTGTTGGTCTGCAGCCTGTAAGTCATTCCAGTAAATCCTGATATATAGAGACAGGGATCCATCACAATTGTAATGTGACTCTAGAGCATCTCAGCTAATACACATCCAGCATTAAGTAACTGGAGTAGGCATTCCATAACAGGCTTGTGTTCTGTGGAAGTACTGGAGAAGCAAAGGCAGGAGGATTGCCACAATGTTGAAGACAAATTGATCTACAGAGCAAGTTCCAGAGCACCAAGTATTACATAGTAAAACACAGCCTCAACAACAAAGAATTAAATAGAAGTAATTGATACACTTGAGCAAATTAAAATAAATTCAGTTTACCAAGCAGTGCTATTTTCAAAAGTCAAAACACAAGCTATAAACTGAGAGGAATTATGACTGTTATGTAAGAAACAGACTAATATGAAGAATGCATAATGCACTGAAGTGAAAACTCAAACATCACTGAGAGGTGAAGACATCAATAAGTAGTTTAGCTACAAAAAATTATTGTGTACATGTGAAAAATTTTCTCTCATTAGCAATCTGAGTCATACATGTTAAGACAAAATACCACTTCACTCAGAAGACTGCTTCTCCAGAAGCATTTCTGTTAGTAGCAGTTACACACATGACTCTCTCCTTAGACATCATTGGGCTATGCCTAGCTATGAGGATCTCAGGATATGAGAGGTGCCTACATTTCCCACCCTTCTTGTCAGCAGGACATCACCATGTGACCCAACATTTTCTTACATCACTGGGATTTATATGTTCTGTGAGCACTTTGATTTCAATATCTTGAATCTGATTTTTCCCTTGCAACAGGCCAGAAAAAGAACAAAATCAAGACTGTTTCAGACAGACAGCCATGTTGACTCCTCTAGGTTCTGTTCATATTACAAAGAGGGGGAAGTTGAATAATTTATGGAGCAAACAGATCCTAGAGACCTGGACTACACTACTACACAGTTAGGTGGGAAAGGAAGAGAGTTCTAGGGAGGAATGGTGATAGAACATTTCTAATCTCAACACTGCCCTGGCCAAGTGAGGAAGATTGCTGTGAGTTCTAGAGCAGCATGGGATACTATGTGACTTCTAGACTCTCTTTAGATCCAGCGGGAGTATCACAAAATAACAGTGATAATAGAAACATGTATATTTTGCCTAAATTTTATTATTGTTATCACTACTACTACTACTATTCATATTGTTTTTTATTTTTGTGAATGTTTGTGTCTTTTTGTTTTGTTTGTTCTTTGATACAGTGTCTTTCATGCACAACTGGCTGTCCTTGAACATTATATGTAGAACAGACTGGCCTCACACTCACAGAATTCTATCTGCCTCTGCCTCTGCCTCTGCCTCTGCCTCTGCCTCTGCCTCTGCCTCCTCAGTACTGAGTTTTCTTTTTCCTTCTTATAACAGTATAGTCTGTGCCTTTACTAGTATACTGTCAACTCTATGTGTTTTTCATAATCTTTTTGGTATATTCATTACTCACTTGTAAGAATTTAAGCATCAAAATTTAAAAGACACATTCAACATTTGGTGTGCTATTGTTATTTGGGACAACGAAAGTAAAGGTAGCTGAAATTTAATAAGAAAAGACAAAGTAGCTTCTGGTAGTTTCATTCATTGGGATACTATATATCAGAGGATGTTATGTGCAGTAATGAAGTCATTTTAGTATTGACGTCATAAGATTAAGCATAAAATAAAGGAGAGAAGAATATATGCTCGGTTTTTTCCAGTGCTTGAGGTAGAACCTATGTTGTTGGCCATGCCTGACAAACACTTCACCACACACTGACTGAGCAAGCAATAATGTTAGCTTTGGCTATGAAGTTAACAATCTGTTATAGACCTTTCCTTTCAATTGTTAAAAGTCATCCTGTAATAAATACTATTCAAATACCATGGACAATGACTACATAATACTTCACATATAGCAGTGAGTCCACAACTCTCATTACACTGAAATTTATTCAGACAGTACTCACTGTTAAGACACTGACACTATTCCCAGCCCAAACTTTCTAAAGAATTAGCAAACAATACTAATTCTACTTAACACTGCCGTCATACTTGGTGAGTGACTCTAGTTATTCTGAATGATCACCATGTGAATTTGAACTAAAATAAGTTTTGTCTTATACTCCACTCTGTTCACTCAATCAATGTTTCATAAAGCCCTGTACTAGTGGACGGGGACACAAAGAAACATTGATGTCTCAAATGAAATTGCTCAAAGAAACATTGATGTCTCAAATGAAATTGCTCTCAAGTCAATCAGAAGCAAATAGTCAATAAGTAAAATCCTCATTTCTAAATCAATTTTTAAAATGAAAAAAGTTATGGACTGTGAAATTAGTTGGGTGTGATTGTACATGCTCTACCATGAATAACAGCCATGTATAGTACAGAGAAATTTCAAGGCCAGCCTAGGCTGCTGAGTGAAATCCTTTCTCAAAAACAATGGAACTAAAATTGTGACTTTATTGACATCTTAAGAAAGTTGTAACCTCAGGGAAACTCAGAGAGGGGGGTCTATGTTTTTATTGCCCATCTTGCATTATTAAACTGAATGAAGGAAATCTAAAACAAAGTGACAAGAAAATATTACCACCTGGTCTGAGAAAGATCACTTTTCAAGTTAATACCTTGCATGTGAATGAGAAAATGATGACCCAGAATAAAGTCTACCATATGATGACTTTAGGGGGGTTCGACAGATGGCCCAGTGGATGAGAGAATGACTTGATCTCACAAAAGACCTGAGTTAGTTTCCCTGTACCTACCTGGCCCCATCTGTAACTCAGGTTCTAGAAGATCCAACCAAGGGCCTATTCTGTTCAGCTACCTTACTTCATGTCTATCTCTACAGACCTCCAAACATCTATGGTTAGCTAATGGCAAGCTCCATTCTCTGACTTTCAGACAGGCTTTATTTGTACAAGCAAGATATCACATTATACCTCCCTTTTTTCTAAAATTTAAAAAGCTATAACTAATAAAAGAATCTACATATACAATATATACAGGCAATAAGTACATCAACAATATCTACCCCATTAGCATTTGGCAAATACAGAGAAAATACTCCATCATTTCTTGATGAGTCCAAAGTCTTGTACCTAATTTACTTTCTATTTTAATTTGCATTATCAAATTATCTTTTAAAGTGTTTCAAACCTATTGCGCTTAACACATCAGACAGTCAAAGAGATAAAAATCTGAGTTCTTGTGTTATTTTTTTCACAGTGAATTACTGTCAGATGAATTCTGAGGTAAATGCTGTTGTTATCAGAAAAATGAGATACGGCAAGAAAGAACGCTATCTCCAGACTGATGGGCTATAAGTTGGAAGATAAAAATGATGACCTATAATGGAATCAACCATTTCCCTTCCCAAGCATCCTGGAGTTCACTCAGATGACTTCAATCATTGGATACAGACCTAATTAGTCCAAGGGATACAGGCTTCTCCTTCAGCAAATGAAGGGGTTGTCTTCTTTTGTTTAGCAACAGATCAAGTAGCTAGCTTGAATGTAAGGAGCAGGTTATTCCAAAATCACAAATCTAAATCCTGGCCAGAACTCTGCAAGCATACTAATGCACACTGCTCAGGGAGCCCAGAACTGGTGTCCTAGCTGATTCTTCATAAGGTATCTCCTTCTCAGGACTGCTGAATTCATGCACTGTGAACTGTATTTCTCTTTCTAGGTTTTGCACAGAGGAAAGATGAGGTGAATTTGAGAGTACATCTTGTCAGGGATTGCCCTCACTGAATGAAAATACACAACTCCCATGTTTGCATTATGAACAGAGCAATCCTGGTTCCTCATAGGCTATCTTAGTTAGGGTACATACTGCTGATGTGAAGCACCACAACAAAAAAACAAATTAGGGAGGAAATTTGGCTTACACATTCATGGTGCTGTTCATCAAGGAAGACAGTCAGGATAGGATCTCAAACAAGATAGGAAACTGGAAGCAGAAGCAGATACAGAGGCCAAGGAGGGGTGCTGCTTACTGGCTGTCTCCCATGGCCTGCTCAGTCTGTACACTGACAGAAGCCAGGAACCAGCCCACAGATGGAACCACCTACAATGGGCTGGGTTACGCCCATCCATCACTAATTAAGAAAATGCATTACAGCTGGATCTTAGGGAGGACTCTTCTCCACTGAGATTCACTCTTTTCAGATAACTTCACTGTGTGTGTCAGGTTGACGCAGGACTAGCCAGCACAGAAGCCAGCACACAGGATAACAGGATAGGGAAGGGTCACTGAATCCCGAAACCTAAGAGCTGGGGATGTACAGCGAAGAGACTAAGGGAAAGGTCACTTCATTCCCAGCCAATTGTGTCAATGTTTGAGACATGAACTCCAGCTTCGCCCTATCCTGCCCCTGCCCCTGTCCCCTGCCCCTTGCCCCCTGCCCCCTGCCCCTTGCCCCCTGCCCACTGCCCACTGCCCACTGTCCACTGCCCTCTTATTCAGGAGCCCAGGCTTCCCCTGGCCACCTCCAGCCAATGCAGACACTAAGTTCCGCACTGAACTCCGGGAGCACAAAACAAGCAAACACACAAAGGAGCAAGGCATCTGCTCCCATCCTTACCTTTGCCTTCATTTTGATGCTTGGCTTTGATCTCTTGTGGTTTTGAATCTGCTCCTGGTGAACATTCTCTGGCTCTTCCGTGCTTGCTTTCAAAGGGCAAATTCTGTTGGCAGTCAACAGCAAGTCTCCTTGGAGAGCCTGAGACTGTATTCTGTCTGAACCAGAAGGCAAAAGCATTAGTGCCTGGAGGGACTGAAGAAACCAGAGGGAACAGTGGGGACCGAGGAGAGGAAGGAAGAGAAAGGCACCTAAGTCAAGCCCTGGCACCAAGATCTGACTTGAACTCCCTTGGGAATCTCCAGGCAGCTTCCTCTTCTGCCTTGTGATGGGCGCAGGATCATGCCAGGGCTGAACAACACTGTTGAGACCCACTCAGCGATCGCGCCAAGCCAGCGTCCATTGCCTGCCATCCTGCCTGTGCCCTGGCTGGCATCTGCTGAGGCTGCCAATGTCCGTTACTCGGGAGGGATGACAGTTATCCCAGAATTCCCTTTGGAGAGACTTGAATGAGTCATCGGCTGCCCTCTGACGTGCCTGGCTCAGCCCAGGCAGAGTTCTCTTCTCAAGAGATGGCTCTGGGAAGGTTCTCTGCTCTCATGACTCTGGGCACATAAGTTTTTCATAGCAGCCTACTGGCCGCTGCTGACCCCTGGCGACCCTTATGACAAGTGCACCGGGAGCTTTGTCCCAGTCCTTAGGAGCTCAATGAAGGGCATGTGCAAATCCCCTCTTGGTTAGTGGAGGACTGCTTTATCTGTACACAGGCAATAAGGAGAGTCCTGTAGGTGGGGCAGATTGAACTATTGGGCTAAATACTTCTCTGTGCAGTCCCAGGTCCCAACTCTTGGCTCCTCCCGGAAAATGGACTTCCCTTTGGGGCCAAAAGGAGAGGGAACATGTCCACACAGCAGCAGGTGCCCTGGGCTGCAACCCCCCTGCTCTATGCTCTGCTTCAGGAGACCCTCTGGATATGCTGACAGACCTCCTTGCCACCTTCTGTGTGGGCTGTGGTCAGGCTCTTTTCCAGTCCAGAGTCCAGTGTCACCCTGATCCAAGACATTGGACCCCAGATTGAAAATGAACACTGGATTGGGAAAGCCTGCTTGTTAAAACTCTAAGGAAGAAGAAGTTCTACTGTTGAGGCAGAACAGAAAACTCCAGAACACCATCAAGCCTCTATTATAGGATATCATGAAAAACATGCTGTATTAGGATTCAGTCACTTTAGGATGTTGTTAGCTTTCTCCAATGTTTGTTGAAATGTTAGGGACCTTTTCTGGCTCCTCTCAAATAATTTATCCAGTGCTGTGGCCCTGATTTATCTATGAGACATGACAAATCCATATATAATGCCAATGTGTTTACATATCAAGATCTGAAGTTTGTATAGACTTGTAATTCTGAGCATTCATTCCACAGTCAGTGATGATATTATTTCTTGGTGCTGAACAAACACAAGCTGAGAATGAAGGAATCAGCATTAGGAAGCTATCCTAAAGGATCTCACATAAACTACATAACTAAGTAGTTAAAGGCAGTGAGATAAATCTGTATGGGAAATAAGCTGATTCAAGTTGAGGGCTTCAGAGGAGAACTGGACTATGTGTGTGAGGGAGTGTGGTGAGTACTGAATCACAGAAGAAAAGCTCTTCAACAATTGGTAATTAGTTTGCAGTGATGGACAATTAGCACATGGCAGCATAGGTGCAAAATTATGTCTGAGCCACACGCCCAGCGCCTGTGGTTAAGTCTTGAAAAGTAAGTGCTTGGGCATCTTCCTTAGAAGGAAAAGATGCATTCCGGAGAAAATAGTTTAGCCTAGATACATGTAAATAGGGTTTGCAGAGATCCACTCAAACATTAGGTATGCTAGAAAGCAAAAAGTTTTATGTATGAATGGATGGACATCTTTTTAAATTGCTCATTGCATCAATATAATTTCATCAATGTTTTGTGATATAACAGAATTGAATATTAGAGGAAGTTTCTTTTATTTTGGACTGTGAGTCTCATGTAAACCAGGTTGGCCTTGAACTTCTGTTTATTACTTTATTTTAGGCAACATAGCCCATGCCAGCCTCAAATCTGATATGTTGATACGAATGACCTTGAACTCCTGATGTCCATTTCTATCCCCTGAATGCTGAGATTATAGGCAGTTGCCCCACAAGTGTTTTTGTGTACTACTGGTGACTAGCCCAGGGTTTAGTGCTTTCCAGCTAACCACTCCAGTTGAGCTCCAGCCCAAAGGATTTTTTTCTGTTTTTATGCACAGGAGACTAGCCTGTGATTTTCTGACTCTAAGGAAGCAGTGGGGTAGAACTCACCACTGAGCCCTCTGGGTCTGGGGCTCAATTCTGGGCTTCCCTGACTGCAGGTGCATATGACTAAGGAAGTGTATACATTGAGCTCCAGAATGTTCAAAGAAGAATCTGGACAGGAAGGTCAGAGCCAACTGGGAGAGACTTCCTGTGCCATGCTGAGCTGCTGGACACAGCACTTGAACTGTGGGGAGTCTTTGAGGTAGAGAAGTGCCATGCTTAGGTTTGTGATGCATTGTCATGGTAACTGGCAGGACAGAAGGATGGGTCAGTCTATGTAGAGTGAGAGCAGAGGCAGTGAGACCATGTGGTTGACAATCAGAGTCACATAAAGACATTCCTTCAAATCTAACTGAGATTCATATCACCAGTGCATATTTGCACCTGAGAAAAGCAATGTGGCAGAAGAGACTGAATAAATTACCTGGACCTAGAACTGAGTCCAGAGAGAGCGCTTAGTGTTGAGTTCTAGCCCCACTGCTTTTTTAGTATTAAAAAAGTTGAACAAAAAACAAAAAATATCATACAATGCTAATCTTCACTTTTCTCATCATCTTCAGAATGTTTTGGACCCTAGACCCCTAAAATAGAACTGGATCTAATTGAGATAATTCTTTTTTATCTTTGTAATGAATTTATTTAAATTAGAAACATGCTTGCTTCACATGTCAATCCCAGCTCTCCCACCACTCCTCCCCTATTTCTCTACCAACTCCCCCAGCCCCCCACGCAATCCCCACATCATTCCCCAGGGAGGGTGAGGCCTTCCTTGGGGGATCTCCAAAGCCTGTCATTTCATCCAGGGCAGGAACAACTCCCTTCCCCATGTGTCCAGGGTAAGAGAGCATCCCTCTATTTGGAATGGGCTCTCAAAGATCATTCATAAAACATGGTAACCACTGATCTACTACCCAAGGCCCCAGTGATTTCTGTGACCTCCTCACTGAGACTACATTCATGGAGTCTGGATCCATGTTGGCCTCTCAGGCATCAGTCTGGGATTCAAAAGCTCCCCCTTATCTGGTCAGCTATCTTTGTGGGTTTCACCATCATGGTCTTGACCCCTTTGCTCATCACTCCTCCATCTCTGTCACTAGGTTTCAGCAGTTCAGTTCAGTGTTTAGCTGTGGGTATCTGTCTCTGCTTGCATTAGTCACTGGATGAAGGTTCTAGGATGTCATATAAGGTAGTCATCAACCTTACCATCAAGGAGGGGCAATTAATATAGTCTCTCCACTATTGCTTAGTTTGCCAATTGGAGCAGGAAGGTTGAGTCGAGGTAAGAATAGAGCAGGATGAGAGATACCGTAATAGATTGAGTCACTATAGGCTTGAGGAGACAGCTGACACTAGGAAGATCTCCAGAGTTCTACAAGGATATAATTCTTTAAAATTAGTTAACAGAAGGAATTCTGGCTTAGGCTTTGTCTCAAGTTACTCTTCTAGTGCTAGATGGATGAACAGGACCAAGGTAATATATAAAAGAATACAATTAACTGGAGATTTGCTTCCTTTTTCAGAGGGTGAGTCCATGATCATCCTGATATATAGCACCTTTACAGGCAGTCCTGGGGCTGGAAGAGCAGCTGAGAACTGAAATCCTGAGACAAGAACCAAAAACCAAGACAGAAAGATGAATAAAGACCAAGCATTCAAAGGGAAGAGCCTAATGGGACCATTTTCCTTCAAATCACCACAGGCCTATAGTTCAAACTATGTGAGGTTAATCAAAGGATAATTGCTTCCTAACAGGAGTTCAAGGTCACCCTGGGTACTCTAGGAAGCCCCTGCCTACATGACCAACAACAGCCGGATGCCAACCTTTTGAACACACCAAGTGCATTTTTTCATTATTATAGCCTTTTCTAATTAGCTGGTCTATTTCATACAGTTCTTGTTTTCAAAGTCTTGCTTATGTGGCCCAGCTGTCATGTTGTCATGGCAATAGTTCTGCATCTTCCACCACAGCCAGTTTTGATCAATTTTAATGGAAATTATTTTTAAAATTAGAGACAATGTATTGTTCATCTTTGATTTCTATATTATATTTGTACAAACATATCTTGAGGTTGTGATTAGTTATCCCGGCAGATGTAACCAAGTGTGAGGAGCCGCCCTCGCTATCGCTATTGCCGTTAGAAGATGGCGCTGACATTCGCTGTCAGTTGGAGTTAACTGTCGCTGTCAGTTGGAGTTAACTGTCGCTGTCAGTTGGAGTTAACTGTCGCTGTCAGTTGGAGTTAACCGTTTAAACTGTGCCTCTCCCGTGACGTCATCTGGGGTGATGTGCAAACCACCAATCCCGGCTCTACACATCTCACTCGGAGCTCCTAGGCTTATATAAGGGGCTGGGTTTCTTAGCTTGGGGTCTCCCTCTAAGAAGCTGATCATCTATCTCTCAAGATGCATTAAAGCTTTACTGCAGAAGGATCCGAGTGTTCTGCGTCGTTCTTGCTGGCGAGACGGTAGCGCGGGACATCTGGTGCCGAAACCCGGGATCTCTTCAACATCGCCGGCGCCGCGGGAGACCCCTCGGAAAACGGGGCGGATTCAGAACTGCAGGGACGTAGGTTCAGAGAGGTATGCTTTATCCTGAACAACCCTTTTCTCGACTTTGGCCTTAGTTTGTCATCACCGTGGGACGGGTCAGTGGAGGCTTTGGTGCTAGTCCTGTTTGTCCTTCTCCTTCATCGTGGCTGGTGCTGACAGAACGGCGCTGTCCGTCTGGCGCTGTCCGTCTGGCGCTGTCCATCTGGCGCTGTCCATCTGGCGCTGTCCATCTGGCGCTGTCAGTCTGGTGCTGTCAGTCTGGTAACGGAGTTGAGCGCGTTTTTTAGATAAGCTGTCAGCGCGATGGGGTCGTCACAGTCAGTGGTTACAGCCTTACAGACTGTGCTAAAACAAAGAGATCTTAAAATTGCACCACGAACACTTCAAAATTTTGTGAAGGAGGTAGATAGAGTGGCACCATGGTATGCTTGTTCCGGGTCCCTCACTGTGGCCTCATGGAACAAGCTAGGTAAAGAACTAGACAGGAAGCATGCAGAAGGAGATCTCCACTTGGGTACCAAAGCCATTTGGAAGCTAGTTAAAAACTGCTTGGAGGATGAGGCCTGTCACCCTGCTATAATAGAAAGTCAGGGAACCTTAGAGGAAGTTCAGGATAGCATGTCAGAAACTGAACGGAGTGAGAGAATGGGAGCTCGCAAAAGAAAAGACATGTCTAAGAAAAAAGGCCCTCCCCAGGAAGTTAAGAAAGGGGGAGAGAAAGAAGGGAGTTATCATTCAC